ATTTCTAAAGTGAATAAAGGACAAGTAAAAGGAATATTTTGCATAGGTATTTAGTAGAGTACAATCTGAATTTTCTGTCGAAAAGAAGAATTCAAGTATTTGCAGGTGTTGAGAATGACAATGTATGTTAAAGAAAAAATATAATAAATTACAATTAATATGCATTTACATATATATATTGACTAACTATTTATTAACGAGCATTATATTTACATCGTATTTTAATCATGATATTTGATTAATATTTTTAAAATGCTATTAAGGGTTTAATTGTAAGCAATCTTTTTCATTCTTAAATTAATATTTTTTATTTTTTAAATTTTAATAAATTTTATTCAATAGTAAAAAGTGTGTTGCTAACATATTTTTCTTCACTAATAGCATGTTGCTAATATTTTTTCTAATTGTTAATATTGAATATTAAAAAAAACCCATAAATTCTTTATTTGTTTTGAAGGTAGTTCCATTTTCTTCTTTACGAATATATGATTTGCAAGTTATCAAACTTGAAAAGTGGTATCTTAGGTGCCTTAATTCAATCGGTAGAAGTTAATTTGGTGAATTGAAGATTACTTAGCTTTGCCCCAAAAAGTAAATAACATGACTTGCCCTTCATTCTGTTATTTTCCTCCTCATACGTACTAAATCTATGGATTTCCTTTATTTGTATTGAAAACAAAAAGAACCTGTTGTTGGGATCAACTAAGTGAATTATAATCAATTACGAAAATAAAAATAAATACAAATATGCAAAAGTGTTGCTAAGACTGTTGTTAATGGCAAAGCAATTAACTTTTTTATTTTGGCAAGAAAGTCATCATCAAGTGGCATTTTAGGAGCACTTATGTTTGTGAAAACGATTGGAAAATGTTTCAGTGCCTTCAATTTTGGAGATGAGCTCTGAAGAAAGAGCAAGTATTGGGGGGCTGTGAATTAAGATTTGGTTTTTCTGTATGTCTAAACAGCATGCGTTTAAAAAAATTGTTATTAAAAATAAAATATTTATAATTTTAAATTATAAAAAAAAAAATTCAACCCATGTATTTTATTACAGTTTAAAGTATTTAATATTTTTAACCTCTATTCTTAAAAAATCATAATTTTATTGTATTTCGATAAATAAATAAAAAATTTAATCGTATATATAAAAAATCAAGGTAACTGTCATGAGCGTAAGCTTATTTAACTCCACTTTTACTTCAAGACCACAAACTTAAACATACAAATAGTTTTTATTGAAGTTTTAGGCTTAAATGAACATTTTCAGAATATATAGACAAATTGATCGACCAAAAAAAGAAATCATCCAAAAATAATAATAGTTAATGCATGTGTCTCTCAATGCCACACATTTTGGCCAGAGTAAACAATGAATCTTCAACTAAACCAAAGGAGGGAAAGAGCTAACAATTTCAAAATCAATAATTATGCTGTAGAAGGACAACAATAAAACATGCGATGGATCATTTACTAGCTCAATTGGGCCTATTTTAACCATCATGAAGCCATGTTGACCAAAATAATAATATGATGGAGCCATTGATCGGGTTGACTAACTCCATAAGCACTAATCTTACCAAACAATTTGGAAAGCTACGCATGGTGATAGGAATGTCAGAAAGAGAAGAACAGATATGGAAGAAAGATCCCTTTTGTTTAAACAGAGAGATCTATTGTTAGTACTTATCTACAAGCCCAAAACTGAGAATGGTCCAAGTTCAAAATAGGGCTATCATGCAAATTGTAAGGTTGAACGAACTGTCCCAAATGGTACAGGGCCTAATTAGTGAAGCCTTAACCCAATTGCTAAATGAAAACAGCCACGATATTGTTGGTCATGCCCGAAATCGATAGGTCAAGAAGAGATTGGAAGGAAAGTTACTCGCGAGTTACACCTATAAATCTTGCATAGTCTTTTTGTTCGATGAATGAAAAGTTTCAAAAAACACTTATGAACTGAGGTCCCTTATACATGAAGTGGTAATATAAATTGAAACAAATTGATAATGACATTAAGTTTATATGAAAAAATCTGAACTCAGGTTAGAGCATTCTCAAAATTATTAGATACGGTCCTTAAGATATGAGGTAAGTGGTATAGTCTACAACACCATTGGGAAGGCCAGATACCCTCTGACTCTCGAAAACAACACAAATAATTTGCCTTTCAGTGTGAAAATGCAATTACGCATGTATAACAAATGGATACGTAAGATTGATTACTTTGTCATTCTCATCTTTCACGAGTTTAATGTAAACACACAAATGATTGTTGCACCGCAAAGAAGAGTGGTTTACACGGGCTTCTTATAACAAGCCACACGCCATAGTTCAAATTGAAGTTAAGGGTTCTGAAAAAGATCGATTAGGAGAGTATCAGCATATCATGATCACAGCATAGCCCAATAAAAAACAGTAAAGAAATTTTTCACCCTAACCTCAAGATAAAAGATGCTCAAACCCATTCGGCTTAATCTCAGAACAAAGGGTGCTCACACCTCTTCATCTTAACCTTAGGACAAACATTCATCTAGTTACATCAAAATAAATTAATAAGTTAATTAAGGTTGATAACCAAATAAGAAAATGCTAATTATCCTAATAATCTAAAAGATTAAAACAGAGTTAAATCATTAAGTTTATTAGTCCAATATCATGTTTAAGAAAGAAAATACGAATCATGTCTATAAAAAAAAAAAAAAAATTGATAGGTAAAAAATTGATTTCAGAATATTTAATAACATTTACTACTCCAAACAAAATACTACTTTACCATCAAAGTACCTTTCCAAGTACCCTCTCCCATGTCACAGAAGAATAGAATATAAAATTTTATATTCAACAAGACATTAGATTAGAGGACAAGGACAAAGACTACAAAAGACTAGTGTATTTTTTACAAGAACATAATTAATTAACTAGAACAAACCCTAGTAAGATACAAAAACAAGCAATTGCAACAGTGGAAATGCATCCACACTTAACAGATGAGAACAAGTAAATCAGACTCTTCAATACAGACCACATTTGATCCTTGGCTTGATAATTTTCAAGCCAAAAATCACTAGGTATGGGCAGCAATATGAAATAGACGAATTTTCTATCAAAAATCAAATCTAAGAGGCCTTCATTTCTTTTTATCTCTTATAATTTGGACTATCATTAATCAGATCCAATCTCCAAATTGGTGTTTTTATGTGTCTTTTTCTCATATGTCCAAACACAAGACCACTATCTTAGCCGTGGATCTACCATTTTCTTTAATAGATGCCATTCAACTTTTTTCCTAACTCATTTATTCAAAACTTACCCTACGTTAGGAAAAACATTTGGGAGAAAGAGAGTAAAGCTATATAAAGTCCACACAAAAATATGCCAAGTGCCAATTGATAACTTTCATCCAAATTTACCGAACAAGTCCCTGCCAATAGCTCAGACTATAAGGATGTCTTGTAAGAAACATCTGATACCTCATACCAGGAATGCAAAAGAAACATAAATCATGCATGGAAAACACAGCATTTAAGCTTGCAGGTGACTTTTTGAGCCAATGAAAAATAAAAAGTGGCATTGAGAAATTGCTGTTAAAAGGAGAAAAAAATGAACATAAACAGACTACACTAATAACATATTAGAATTTATCATCCAGTGATTGTGAACAACCATATTAGAATTTTAACACAAGCAGCTAAGTCCGCCAAGTCCAGACCCTAAGACAGTCAACTCCTCTTGCAGTTAAACTCCTTCAGCAACATTCCTCGGTACAAAAAATGCATTTCAACAAGAATATGATCATACAAATAAAACCTAGTGACCCTAAATTCAATAGTAGACAAATATAACTTAAACAGCTGCAAATTATAGCCCTCACATTCATTAGTTAAAAGGTATATCTCCACAAAAATCTGAAGTCTGCGTTAAACCGTTTTGTACAAATTTGTTTGATCATGACACCATAACTTCTGAAAAAATAAGTTACAATATCACAGACCCCTAAAACTTGTTCTTCAAGATCACCACCAGTAATGTTCAATAAATATTTTATCAACCACAAGTTAAGAGATCAAACACCCCAATCAACACCCAAAGTGAAAAACCAATCCAATGTAAATCTTCAAAGGCAATAAAGTATAGCAAAAGACAATAGTGAACACAACCAGAGATTGAACAGTCCTAGGATTAATTCACACTAAACATAGGCAGTTAGATCTTTGATTCCACCCAAAAGGCACCCTACTTTTTAACATTTCAAGCAATTCATGCAATCTTAAAACATATTAGTGATTTGCCCAAACATCACATATAATTAAGATTGCAAAAACTGCTAGTATACGTGATAACCATACAAGCAACAACAATTAAAAAAAACCAATATCTTAAAATCAGGACAGCATGCCAGCAGATACAACACATGGCAAAGCAAGATAGACCAGCAAACATTAGAACACATTCATACATACATACAGCAATCTTTATCCAGTCACCACTCACAGCACCTTCACAACCTGCAATTCCATCCTTCAACAACACAATGATTGCACCCACAAAAAAATCATCATTTGATACAAGTAAAGAATTAGAAGTAGGAGGCAACAAAAACAAAATCACCAACAGCCAACCAAAAATTTTATCTTATACTAGAAGAGTGAAAGACAGAATCACCAAATAGCAGAATTACCACCAGCACTTGACGCATCACGCAATAGATTAACATCAACTAATTCAAAAATTATATCAAAGAACTATTATAATAATACAAACACAAAGCATTTCAAATTAGAGCAATTTCATCATATTAATAAAAATTTGTGCTACAATCTCCCGCTGCATATCCATATATAATTCAGAGGTAAAGATAGGTGTGAACGATAGCAATACCAAAAACAGCGGTGTTTAAAAGACAAAATTCAAATAAAAATCCAAGGAAAAGGCATTGTTTAGCTACATCGAAAAAAGATCCAAAATATACATTATGTGAACCCTAATTAAAACAAACGAGCTCATGAGCTAGTGAACTTGGTAACAGCCTTGGTGCCTTCAGAAACAGCATGCTTAGCAAGTTCACCAGGGAGAACAAGGCGAACAGCGGTCTGGATCTCACGAGAGGTGATGGTAGGCTTCTTGTTGTATCGAGCGAGTCTAGAAGACTCCTGAGCTAGTTTCTCGAAGATATCGTTGATGAAACTATTCATGATTCCCATGGCCTTGCTAGATATTCCGATGTCAGGGTGAACCTGCTTAAGAACCTTAAAGATGTAGATCTTGTAGGTTTCTACGCTCTTGGCCTTCTTCTTCTTCTTCTTGTCCGAGGATGACGCATCCTTCGGGATCTTCTTCTCAGCCTTAGTTTTCTCTGCGGGAGCCTTCTCGGCCGGTTTTTTCTCAGCCGGTTTCTTCTCGCCCTTAGCCATAGATTCGTTAGAGGGGAGAAAGGGAAATGAGAATGCTTGGTAGTAGAGGCTTTGAAAGGTAAGAGAAAGGTGAATGTGATGAGTGATTAGGGTGTGATGGTGAGAGTGTTTATATAGGAATGGATGGTGGATGCTGATTGGTTGGGTTTTAGTATGCGCGGATTGATGACATGGAAGTTCAGTTTTGGAGGGAGATTTTCAAATCTCAGGTTTCGCAATCTTTGCACGTCCTTTTTTTATTTATTTACAAAATATATTCTTTTCTGTAGTTTTGGCGGGGCGTTTGAATTTTGGGTTTTGAAATTCAGTTTTGGCTGGATTGACTATTGATTAATTGTTAATTAATTAATTAATCATAAAGGAGAAAAACTTTCTGTATTTTGGAGTTGCATAAAATTAATATTGATCAAATATATTTTTAAACTATTAAATGTAATTAAAATATATTCTAATTTAAACTGTAAATTTTATATTCAAATGTGTCTTGTGATAAAAAAAAATTAATTTTAACTGGCAAAATTTTAATCTAGTTTTAGAATTTGTATTTAGAACTAAATTTATGCTTGAAAAAAATAATTTTTATAATTTTTAAATAATTCTTTTAATTAAAGTCACTATAAAACGTCAAAATTATTTAGATTTAAATATTGCTAAAAAGAAAGATTTTGTTAGAATAAAAACATCTTACATGAGTCTTAAATGATAATTAATATTGTTAATTGTGTGTATGACTTCTTTTTTTTCATTACTCCTTTTTAAATATTTTTATTTTAATTTAACACAAAGATTCATGTGAAGTGACTGTGGTAGATTTAGACAAGTTTATATTATTTTTTGGAATTCTCTTTAATTAACTTGATTATATGAAAATAAGATAAAAAAATATATATGCTCTGTGCATTATTATAAGATATCGTGACTGTAATAATATTTATTATTATCTCATTAAAATTATTTTAGATTATTATATTGTATTTATTAAAATAAATTTCTCATTAATGGCGTTAGGACATACACAAAGGGCTCAGTGATTATTATTTTTAGTTTATGCAATGAAATGTTTCTTTATTAGTGTATCTTATATAACTATTTGATTTGGTACAATTTGATGTAGTTATGGCACTTGAAAGGTCGATTTGTGCTCGATGACTAAGACTATATATAATATAATATTGTATAACCAAAAAATTGTGCTAATATGGTGCATATAATCATTAGCACGATCTTGAAACATTTGTTACTTGTGGAATACTTTGTATTTAAATAATTTATGTGATTGACAATTTTTTTACAAATTATTTATTTTTAAGAATTGTACTTTTTTTATTATTATTATATAAATAAAGTGTAAAAAAAGTAATTAAAATAATCGTATATATAATCATATAAAAAACTGCACATCATGAATAAATTTAAATAACTTGTTTAGCTCGCCTTATTCATATCCCTCGTGTAGCAAATGAATGAGAATAAAAATAAATATAAGCAGTGGTCACGTTCTTCTCTTTAAAGTGAGCCTTTAAATATTGGGACTGATTAGTATGTTTATTTTAATCTTGTTTGGTTAAGTAATTTAATAAATATTTTTTGTTTAAATTTTTTTCATAACTATTTGGTGTTTAAAATTTTAATATATTTATTATTTTTATTAATATAATATTTTGCTCTAATATGTGTTAAAATATTATTTAAAAAATCATTCATATAAGTTGATTGTAAAGTAGGGTGTTTATAGAGTAGATAAATTCAATTAATTTTTAATAAATTTAATTCAAATTAAAATTAGTGGGTCAAATTTGATAATCAGATATAATCAAAATATAAAAATACAAATGTAATTCAATCTAACTCAATTACATATAAAAAATTATTTTATAATATTTTTATTTTAATATTTTGATGTGTATTCTTAAATGTGATTTTAATTAAAAATATTATTATTTAAGCATAAATTAATATTTTTTATAAATATTAATAAATTAGTTTAATTTATTTTAGTAATTACTTAATTTTATAATTTACATTTTTTTGTGTATATACCCAATTTCTTGACAAAAGGAACATGTTGATGATCAAACTAAGGTGAAATGGCATATTAAAAATATGAAAAATCAACCCAAATGGAATTTGCAACTAGAATTTTTGAATTTTGTATGTTCAAACTTTAAAATAATAAAGAATCTATGTGATAAAAAAATATGCTAAGAAAAAGTAACGTAAGAAAAAGATAAGTTTTTCTAATAAATTAATTTAATTTTTAAAATTACAATAAAAAGTTGTTTGTATTGCTTATTTATTTATTTTTATGTTATTTTTCACTTATCGCAATCTATTTTTTTATTCATTCAAATAACACATAATTTCTTTTCCACTTTTATTACTATTATTTATATTTTTTATTTTTTATTTCAGTATTTTCATGGAAGAGATGAAAAACAAAGTAAAAAACATCTAGTATTTAAATATATTAAAATAAAATTTGATAAAAAAAAATATACTTATCTATTTAAATAATTAAAAATAAATAAAATAATTAAGACATCCATAAAGAAAATTAAAATTAATCTAAAATAATACTTTTTTACTTTTATATTATTTTATTTATTTTTTTAACAAACCTTGTCACTCGTTTTCGCTTCAGCTTCCCTTGTTCATTGATTACTTTCTCTTAAAATGGATTTTTTTTCAACTAAAGCTAAACAAAATTTCTTCCTCTATCAAAATCCAATATCTCTTTCTTTCTTTCTATTTCCATCTATCCGTTCAAATTCCATAGCATAAAGCCCTACATGATTATGGCTCTTTTTCCCCCAAAGGATCACCAATGGTATCATAAGTCTTATCATTAGAAACATGTCATACTTTCATTGCACAATTACTTTAACTTTTTATAAGTTTTCTAGTTCATAATAAGGGTCTAAGCAAGTTTTGCTAAGTTTATTTATTTAACTTTAGTTATATTTTATTATTAAAATGAGTGGAGTCAAGTTATATAAACTTTACATTAATAGGGAGTATACATACTAATGTATAATAACTATAAATTTATTTTTAAAAAATTATATTTTCTCTCTTAAAAATTGCATATTTCAATATCTTATTGTTCTATTTGAAATTTATATAGCTTTCTCTACTAAAATATTAAAATGCATTACAATTTAATATATTTTGATTCTTTTGTTAAAGCCTTATTAAAATATGTTCATTGTTTTTATACAACAATATTTTTTAATAAAATTACACTATAAAAATCAAATATTTGAGAAGGTTAACAAGTTTAATGTATTTTTTATGAAATAACAAGCACTTGTTCTTATTATACAAATTTTAAAAGCTTGTATGAATATCAAATAATGAAAGAAAACTAAAAATATTATCACATTTTGATGAAAATGTACAATAAGTAATTGACTTGCAACTTTAACATATTTTTTGGAAAAAAAAAACCAAATAGAATTTTAAAATAAAAAAAAAGGCATATAAGTGTTTAACAATACTTTTAAAAAAAGCTTAAAATAAATTAAATTGCGATAAAATTTATTTTTTTTAAAGAAAATAAATTATATAATTTAAAAATAAAATTGATAATATGATATGTAGACATATTTATTTATTTATATAGTTATAGAAATAATTTTGTATTGAAAAAGAGAGAGTTAGATTAAAAATTCATTTGTAATTAAAATGCCAATAGTGAAAATGCAAAGCTTTCATTTAAATTACTCAAACTTGTAAAATTTCTCAATAATAAAGCAATAGAAAGTAAATGAATTCAAGTAGAGAATTGAAATAACATACATATACATTGATTTCATGAATATACTAAAGCTTAATATTTACAATATATAATTTTAAAATGCATTAAAATTCATCAATATAGTTTATAAAATATAATAAATTATAATGAACAATATATCCACTCTAAAAGACTGGAGACGATTATAGTCATTATCCCAAAATCACCCCTCAATCTCTGCTAATTCCTCTGGGGATAAGTCTTTGTCTTCACAAAGATCATCCGCATTGGCTATTGCTTCAACAACCGTGATCCGTTTAGCGGTAAAGTGGGTTGATCTTTCACAATGATCACAACTCATAAAAAATATAAATATTATTCCACGCATTTAGTAGTTTGAACATAATATCAACCATCCTCAATATACCTTATCATGCCTTATTTGAACATAATATCACATTTTCACCGTGTATTCATCATAAAATCATATAAACAGTCAATTATTCTCACTTTTCACCGATTATTTCTCATAAAACAAGGATTATTTCACATATAATCACATACATGACAAGATCCATGAAAATACAAGTAATAAACATAACAAAATGATAAAGTAGAGCCCCCTGACCTCAAAACAGAGCTTTTACAAAGATTTAACCGAATATTTGAACTCTAGAACGGAGTTTTTCCTAAGAACATCATGAACATCTATAATAAGAAGAAGAAGAAGAAGAAGAGAAACGAACGGTAAATCTAACTTCAAACTTAGAGAAACTTACTTGAAATCCTTTAGAACGGACGTAGAATCACAGATCTGAAGAAAAATCTAAGTTTAGGAGGTTTAGCATGGAAGAAAATGGTGAGATATAGCCTTAGAACCTTTGAGAACCTTGGATAGGAGTGAAGAAATGAAAATTTCGTGTGAAACCTCCTTTTTATAGAAAATTTTTGAAATTTACTGTTCATCGCCGAAAACACTGTTTATCGTCTTACTGTTCATACTGGAAACACTGTTTGGGTCACTTGTTCACGCCGGAACACTGTGCACACATACTATACATGGACTGTACGCGGATGTGACGTCAGCCATGATGTCATGCTGATATAATTGATGGCGTCATCGGTCACTGTACATAGGCAGTTTCACTATTCATAGACGGTTTTATTGTTCACCGACACTGTTCATAAGCGGTTTTACTGTTCACTTTTTAAAAAAATATATATAAATTCTATTCAAATCTATTCCAATTATACTTTAACAAAC